ACAACACATAATTGTTTAACATATATTTATAAAATCACATACATCCATATAGATTATTACCCTCCATGCAAAAATAATTCTCATCCCCATCTCTTCATAACACTCTCGGTCAAGGGCATACCCAAACACACACAAACTTTCAAACTCTTTCAAACACACTCTCAAGAACATCTTCCCCATTCCTCTCAAAATTTTCAAAATTGTGAGCTTTTCCAAGAAGGTTTTCCATCCAAAAATCACTTCAGGTTACACTCTTGTGGTAAGATCTTGTAAACTTAAGTTGGTTTACTTCATATTTAGCTAAATCACTTAATATCAACACCTATTCTCGTGATTTTGCGTCCTAGAACCTCCTATGTTCGAAAACCACTCAAAGAAAGCTTTCTAAAGGCCGAGATCTCTCCATTTCTTCCTCAAAACTGAAACATCAAAGCAAAGGTGAGCTCATACCCCTTTATTTTCGGTTTTTACATGTTTTCGGGGGGAGAATACAAGTATTATGTGTAGATCTATGTATTTATGCATGTTATGTGTGATTTTCTTGGTTTATGTTGTGAACATGTGGTGAAACTTGTTAAATCTCGAAAACTTTAACAAAAATGGGTGAGATTCATAAACTAAAACACTCTAGTCATCATACTACAAAGATAAAAGTGTTACATATGCTTAAGATGAGAAAAACAAAACAAAAATCTTGTATAAGGGTCATTTTTGACAAATAAACAAAAGTTTGAGACAATTGTGACACTTTCAGTTTTATAAGGATCAAAAAGGTCACATTTGTATTACAAATGAGTTTTTATAATAATCATACTTTTTAAAGGGGCAAAAGTGTAAAATTTAGTATTATAGGCCTCAATTTGGGCCTTGCGGCTTTTTGGCTGCAAATTGCAAAAATATCAATTTTTAAGGATTTAAAATGCTATCTAATCAAAACTTGAGCCAAAATGAAAATAAACAAAAATGACATTTTATTCAAATAAAGGGCTGAAAATGTAATTTTACGAAAAATAGGCTGAAAATGTCTTTCTTTTTAAAAATGGGTTAAAATATTATTTTTATAATTATTGGGCCGAAAACGTTCCTCTTTTCAAAAATGGATTAAAAATGTGATTTCTTATAGAAATGGGCCGAAATTAACCATATTTTATTAATTGGGCCAAAAATGTCCATTTATATGTATTTGGGCCAAAAATGTTAATCTTTATGATTTTTAGGACTGAAAATGAAAACTTTTAACCTTAAGGGATTTAAAGTGTCAAATTTTACAAAAGGTGACTAAAATTGTAAAAATGTCTCTGTTACAAAATTAGTTATTTGGTTATTTTGGTAAACCTCGAACAAAAGCAAAACGACGAAATAATAAAAATTAGACGATATACATCGTGAACATGTTTTTGGGCCTGAAACTCTCGTTACATGTCTAATGGTCCCTAGGGGCTCATTTAAGTGTATATTGGGCCCAATATCATCCATGACATTTATTGGGCTTGGTGGTCCATTATATGTTAATTTGGGCTTGAACTATGGATCACATGTTTATTGGGCCTTAGTGGCCCATTACATGCCTATTGGGCCTAAATTGCCCTTTTACATGTCTATTGGACCTTAATGGCCCATCTACATGATAATTGGGCTTAGACTATACATCACTTACTCTTGGAATTTGGAAAACTTGAAAACATACGCGTAAACATTATACATGGTGAAAAACATAACAATCGTGAAAAGTTGAGGATTTAGTGAGACTTGTCGGTTGGCACCTTTGAGTGTACGATCCTAGCCCGTAGTTATAACCAGAGTCTACTCGAGGAAGAAAGGGATTTTGTGTATAGATTTATACGGTAATGACACCCCCACGCTTTAGTTGTTCGCTAAAGGTAGGCTAGGCCAGTCCAGGGCCACAAACCTTACCTATCTGGCGTCCAAAACGCCATGACAGGCAAATTAGTCATTATCAAGCATGGTTGTAACAGCTCACTTAGAGACTAACTCCATCAAAGATTTTGGTATAATCATACTGATCATGGCGATTCAAAAACATACATACATTGATACTTGGTTTTCGGATTATATGATCATGACACTTTTAATAGCAAAAAATATTGGGCTTATGAAGATGGCTCTTGGATTCTTATTTTGGGCTTGGAATATCTGCATTTGAAACTTGGATGAAGTGGGCTTATGAAGATGGCTCTTGGATTCTTATTTTGGGCTTTGACTATCCGCATTTGAAAGTTGAAGATGATTGGCCAAATTTGAATCATGTGAGATATGGAGGGGACCAATGGAATCTTGAGTAGTGGGGTAATGTAGTGTAGAAAAAGAGCCAATAACATTCCAACATCATTTGCGAGGGTGGAGTCTCAGTCACGCAAATCTGCGAGGGTACCCGCGCAACTGCACACTTTGGGGCATTTTGGTCATTTTGCTCACCATTTTACCTTGGGGGTTAGGTTTGGCAGCCATACTTCAATTTTCCACCATTAGATCACTATGGAGGCGGTTTTGGAGAGCTTGTAGACATTCTTCTCATCTTTCTAAGTAATTGTTAGTTTCTTGACGCAAAAACACTTTTGTGATTGTTATCTTGTTGCCATGGGTGGCTAGTTTATTTAATTTGGTTAACTTTGTCTAAAACCTTTGGATATTTGTGGGTTTTGAAGTATTCATGCTTGATTTTCATTTATCTTATGTTTATGATTCTAGTTCATATCTCTTATGCTTGTTTAATACTTTGATCATGAGCTTGGTACTTGAAGGAGCAATTGTTCGTTTATGTCTTTGGTTTAGCATTGAATCATTTAATTTACTTGGAACAAGGGCTTTATGATGGTAGAAACCATCTCTAGCTTATGGATCATAACTTCTTTATGGATGTGTAAGGATTGAAATCCTCTAGGAATTGGGAATTCCTTCATTCTTAAGGCTAATCAACTTTCTTGGGTTCAATTGGTTGAATTGAATCCTTGATTTGGATTAAGAAGGTGTGTTGTGGGCTTTCCCAACCTCCATACTACCTATGAGGAATCTTGGCATATCATGCTTCATTATTTTTATAACCAATTTGGGATGAATGATAAGCTTCATATTGAATCCTAATGATAAACACAAAAATGTTCATTGTCTTAAATTGACTTGGTTGACCAATTCTCTCTAATATTTGGACATGCCACCAACAAGAAATAAGACTTTTAGTGACAACAGATGCTTTTAGCGACAACACATACAAACGCGCTTTTTGTCGCCACTAAAAACGTTTGTCTTTGCTAATAGTGACATCGCTAAAACTCAGCCATACGCGATCCTGGAGTCCACAAAAAATTATATTGTCATCGTTCGTTCTTAAATGATACGTCTGTTAGGCTTTCGCTTCGCTTTTAAGCAATAGAGACGACGTAATTGCGACAACATGTCGTTGCTAGTAGTGTCGATCCGTGTGACCACACCAAAAGAAATTGTGACCCTACGTTTTTCCCATATCCAACGTCATACAACCAGGTAGAAAAGGCGTGTGTTTTTCCCTCCAACATGTCCCCACTATTGCACTAAATTCACCCGAAAAGGGGTCGCCGCAAAAGGTGTCGTCCCTTTTGTTCTTGTCTTCGTCCCAGATCACTATTGTTGCAACCTCTTAATTTCTCTACACCATCTTCAGCGACTACACGACTTCATTAGAAAATAGCGGCAATTTTCACTTGTTGGCGACTAGAGTAGTTCACCCGCGACACCACTTCCCTTCACTCCCACTCACCTCGTCGGCAAAACCGAGCTTTTCCAGCCATCTCCGGCAACGTTAAGGTACTCGAAATCTTTCCTTTCTCTTTTTTGTTCGCTTCTAGCCCTAATTTCGAATCAAATTTCATCAATTTTGATGTTTCCGACGACATACAATCACAACCACCGCCACAGTTCCCTGTTTTCCGGCAACCACCACCATCACAACACAATTGGATTTTTCATTTCTCTGCAACAGGTTCATGTTTCCGGCTAAATTTAATTGTTTATGCATATGTTTGTAATTGTATATGCATGTGTTTGTATTTGGTAGGGTGTCGATATGTTTTTGTGTTTAGTTTTCACCCATGATTCTATAGTTTTTTTCTATGATTTTGCAGTTTTTATGTATGATTTTTGTTTGATTTTGTTTTTTTGTGATCAAAGAATATATGTTTATTTGGTAGTGAATTGATCAAAAATTGTTCATATATTTTTTTTGTATATGATTTTTCCTTGATTTAGGTTTTTATTGTCAAGTATGAAATTAGTAGTGTGTAAAATGTGTATTTGGCATTTGGTATGTTTGTATATATATGTAAAATGTATATTTGGTGTATATGTGTATATATGTATATTTGGTGATCACCATGGAGGTGATGGTGGTGCATATGTTTGTAATTGTATATGCATGTGTTTGTATTTGGTAGGGTGTCGATATGTTTTTGTGTTTAGTTTTCACCCATGATTTTATAGTTTTTTTCTATGATTTTTCAGTTTTTATGTATGATTTTTGTTTGATTTTGTTTTTTTGTGATCAAAGAATATATGTTTATTTGGTAGTGAATTGATCAAAAATTGTTCATATATTTTTTTTGTATATGATTTTCCTTGATTTAGGTTTTTATTGTCAAGTATGAAATTAGTAGTGTGTAAAATGTGTATTTGGCATTTGGTATGTTTGTATATATATATGTAAAATGTATATTTGGTGTATATGTGTATATATGTATATTTGGTTATCACCATGGAGGTGATGGTGGTGACGTGCCACCACATCCGTTCCATGGAGGTTTTGGTGATAACTAGATTGATGATAATTAAGATTTATTCTAATTCATTGTATCTCATATTGTATGTATATAAAAAAATTATCTTGACTAATATTTTTTTATGCAGCGGTGGCTCCAAAATGAAGAGGGATGTCAGTTAATAAAAATGTACATGTTATTTGCAGCTAACGGAGAACGCCTATGAAGATAACATTTGATATAAATACTCACATGCCGATTGGGGAAGTATGCAAATGTTTCATTCGGGAGGTTGGGAGCTATATGTGGCGCGACATTGCTTTCGATAAGGACACATGGAAAGAAGTTTCTGAAGCCGAAAGGGTTGGCATGTTCTAGTATCTTTCGGTAAATTATTTATAAACTTATATTTAATATGTTTAATTTTGATTTATTTTTAACTTCTCTATTTTTTTGTAGACATGGTTTGATTTTGGAGCAAATTCAAATGATCTCATGGCTTCAATTTATTAGGTGTCACTAAACAATCGGATATACACACAGTATAGAGGTCGCAAACATACTGCAAAATCTCGTTTGACTGATTTTGAATGGGATGTGGAGGTAGCAAGGGTTCAAGCCCCTGATGGTACGGATTTGCAGCTTTCGAGTGATGTTATTGACCACTTTTTAACAAAAAAGCATCAAAAACGATCCGCTGAAAACAAAAAATGTCGGAAGAAGCAAGTAGTTCACAATCGTGGAGGGACGTACAGCTACGGTAGTGCTTGTTTTAAGAACATAAGTTATAATAATGTTTATTTAGTGAATAAAAAAAGGGAATTTGTTGATCCTTTAGTTGAAGACCAATACGTAAGTTAATATTACTTAAAAATGAAGTAGATAGTTGTCTTTTTTGTGTTACTTTTGATGTATATTGACAATCTTTGTGAAATACAGAATGCTTTAGTTGTTGAGGTTGCTTTACAGACTCATCACATAGCCGACTCCGGTGGTGATGCACATTATATTAATTGGATTGTAATATTTGAGAAAGTGTTAGGTGCTCGAAGAGGACATGTGAGAGGCATTAGGCCTAAACCTCCTTCTACAGCGGGTACAAGTGTTTGATGCTTGTGACATTCACAGTCACAAGCATCGCAACCGACATATGTACTTATTAAACTTTTAAAGAATTTGGTAGCTTTGCTATATTGTTAAGAACTTGATGCATTTATAGTAATTTTTGGTAGTTTGGTAATTTGTTAAATTGTTACAGACTTAATTGATTTGGTGGTATAATAGTTTGTTAAATTGTTAACGATTTATTTCATTTGGTGGTTTGATAATTTGTTAAATTGTTAATGACTTAATGTGCTTGTGACTTAATTGTAGGATGTTTTTCTTCAAATCCAGCATTTGTGATGGCAATTGGAAATATTATTTGCTCGTTTAAGAACCAAGTCAACAACGAGGAAAACAAAGATGGGAAAGGAGAAGACACATAGTATTTCTTGTTTTATGTTATTGACGATGTTATTTTAGATTTATTAGATAGTTTATGGATGATATATCTGATGTTTATTTTGGATTTATTAGATATTTTATGTAATATGGTATATTTTATGTCTTATGTAATGTGATATGTATTGATTTCTGTATTTTATCAAATCTATATGTTATAATATATATAAACTAATATCATAAATAAATTGTTTTTTTTAATAAAAAGCATTAGCAGCAACACATTTAGGGACGACATTGACCAATTGCAATGACTCATAACTCCGGGAAGCCTTGCCGATAAGGATGTCAAAAACCCCTACGGCACTCCGTTCTCGTGGGACCCCGATATCATACGAGACTAGATTATTAAAATAAAATAAAATAAAATAAAAGTAGCGGGTGCAAGGTGTGCGCAGAATTAAACCTCGTTTATTTTTGGGACCGGTGTCGGGAGTCGGTATTTCTGTCATATACTCCCACGGGGGTCCCAGTTGCACATTTATGTAAAAAATATATATTTAACATAAAATACATATATAAAATAGATTTTCCAATTTTAGGTTTAGACAATTAATGGATATTGAATATATACTTAATTGGTCACATATTTTTGAACATGTCAGTATTTTATATTTATAACTAGGTATAAAACTCGTGTATTGCATGGGTTGATTAAAAAAGAAATTAAATATTAAAATGTAAACAATAAGTTTTTTTAAATAAAATTTTGAAATCTACTCTAATAAATGAAGATCGATTTTGCCACATGTTAATCTCTCATGAGTTTTGACACATGTCATTTTGTGATATTTTTGAAATAAATAATATTCACATGTTAATTCTTAGGTTTTTAAAATTTTATATTAAAAAAGTCACATAATATTTATATATTTATATATGTAAAGTATTAAATGTCATAAAAATTTAATTTAAAATTTAAAAAACCTAAGAATTGACATTTGGATATCATTTATTTTAAAAATATCACAAAATGACATGTGTCAAAACTCATGAGAGATTGACATGTCGCAAAATAGATCTTCATTTATTAGAGTAGATGTTGGATTTGTCATATTTTACATTTGTAATGTTGGATTTGTCGTATTTTATATTTGTAAGATTGTTGGAATTGTCGTTTTGTAAGGTTGGATTCATATTGTTAGATTTTTATTTTTTTAGTTTATAAAAGATTATATTTTAAGCTTTTAAAGTTATTAGAAATAGTTTTTTTAGCCTAAAACAAAGCAATTTTTTAGCAAAAAATCCAATTTTAAGCCTATAAACCGAGAGAACAGGGGCGGGACCGGGGGCTATGTAAACGGGGGATTCGGGGATGGGGGCGGGGGCGGGGGCAAGAACTGATTTCGGGGGCAAAGGCGGGGGCAACTATTTCCGCTCTCGTTTGGTCCTGTTGACATCCCTACTTGTCGGAAAAACTCTAATCGGTGGTCGGAATATCAATAAAGACAACACCAATAACGACGACATACACATTTAGCAACGTGTATTAGAGACGACGTTAATTACGACTACAAATGAGTATTAGCTACGAAGTAATAGCGACGACATGAGGCATCAATTGGGATGTTTTTGTCGTCGCTAAAGGTTATGCTTTTTTGTTGTGGTCGTCCAGATCATCAATAAATTTGATAAAATGTATGTTCAAAAAAGAAAATAATAAAATCACCATTCTTATCGGTATTGTTGTTTTTTCTTTTGTAAACAATTTTATTTTAGGACTTATTCATAAATTAGATTAAAATATTAAACAAGTATACAGGGAAAATGGCCAAATTCGTCATTTTTTCTAGTAATTCATGAATTTTTATAAATAAATTTTAATTTATTTGTAAATTAAAATAAAGGGATAATGACTTGAAAGGGTAATAAACTTTCCACTTTTGTCACATTTAGTCACTAAACTTTTTTTCGTTATGCATTTGCCATTGACTAAATATGAAAAAAATCGAAAGTTCGTTTCCCTCTAAAAAGTTCAATGACTAAATGTGAACAAACTTCCTCTTGTATTATGTTTTAGCAAATTATTTATTTTTGTTAAATTGTAGCAACATTTGTTGATGAAAAAATCAATGAAATAAAAAAAATAAAAAAATAAAAAAAAAACCCTGAAAATATATTTAAAAAACAAAAAACCAAAACCGAAATAAAAAACCAATGGTTTGACATTTTCCAAAATAAAAAATCAAAATTACCAATCTGATTTTGGTTTTACAAAAAAATGAACAATTCTCACTGGTGTGAATTATGACCATTGGTTTGGCATGCGAAATTTGTGACATCCCATGAATATGTAGTTACAACATCGTCTGAACTCGTAATTCATAGTAAGGGGTTAGAGTATCATCGCATGAATACGTAGTTACAACATCGCCTGAACTCATAATTCATCACCTACAGGTTATGGGCCTCCTGGTGTTTCCACTGGGTTGTCTAGAATAGTCTGTGGTCGCCATCTATACTCTAGTAGATGACTACATCGCCACATTGTTGGTTAAGGTTATGGTATCTCCTTTCATCCTACATCACATACTCATCATCATCTATTTACCTAATTATCATCACCTTTCTATCATCACCTATCTCTCATCATTTTATTTTATCACACACCAACTATTCCATCTACCCATATTTCATCCGCAACATATTTGTATATATAAAATAAATATACCGTTTAAATATTTTAAAACATGTATAAAATCGTTCATCCAACATAGACAACAAGTATTCAAATAATATGCACACGTAGCACGTAATTTATATAAAATACTTCATATCTATATGTAAGATGAAAGTAACTATATATACCATAAAAATCCCATAAATGCTTCCTAACTTCGTACCTAAGGTTTACTCTACTAAAGCTTCATATTCTCGGCTCTCTGGACCTAGAAGGGTCCAGATCTATCACACCAAAAAGCCCAAGATAGCTCTTCCTCTCACTCTACACACTCAAGCTCGCTAGGGTTCTCACTTATGGGAAAGATAGTCACAATTGAAGGCCATAAGTGCCTTTAAATATGGCTCAAGCCCAAAGATTTAGGTTTTCTGCCAACAGCGCGGACTCGTCGAGTTGTCTCACCAACTCGTCGAGTCCATTCATTAATCCAAGTCATTAGTCGCGACCTTACTCGACGAGTTGAGGCGTCAACTCGTCGAGCCTCTCTTCTTAACTCAAAAGAAAAATACTTAAATTATGATACCTGGAAATCCGAATGTTACATTTTGTTTTTTTATTTCATAGATTTCTTCATCAACAAATGTTGCTACAATTAAACAAAAATAAATAATTTTGCTAAAACATAATACAATATGAAGTTTGTTCACATTTAGTCATTGAACTTTTTAGAAGGAAACGAACTTTCGATTTTGTTCACATTTAGTCACTAAACTTTTTTTCGTTATCTATTTGTCACTAAACTATTGAAACTGTTCTAATTTTACCCTTATGACCGGTAACAGCCAGTCATAAGGGTAAAATGTGAACAGTTTCAATAGTTTAATGGCAAATAGATAACGAAAAAAAGTTTAGTGACTAAATGTGACAAAAGTCGAAAGTTCGTTACCCTTTCAAGTCATTATCCCTAAAATAAAATAAGGAGAGATTTCCTTTAAATTCATACTATAAAATTGCCAGGCTTAAATGCTCTCGTGTTTCTGTCAAAACCCCTTATTTATTTTTGTTTTGTAGTATCTTTTTATTCTTATTGACATATGATGACGATCTTATTATTCTTTATACCTTCCGGCCAATCGGCTTTTATCAAAAGTAACGAAGTCTTTGTCCTCTAATAACACATAACACCATAAGATTCATCGCCTTGAATCAACATAAATCGAACCAACTTTCTCAATTGTAGAATGATAATCACTTGTATATCTACCAAAAACGATGGCGTTCAACGTCGAGATAACAGCAACCCACATCATTAAACCTTCATCCTCCACTCACGACCACCTGAAAACCCACGATTTATCACTTTTGGACCAGTTATCGCCTTCCGTTTATCCTCCGATAATCTTCTTCTATGACCCAAAGCCAAACTCGAACTTAGCCCCTCGACTCAAGACCTCTTTATCTAGAGTTTTGTCGTCGTTTTATCCATATGCTGGACGTGTAAATGGAGATGTTTTTGTGGATTGCAATGACGCCGGAATACCGTATTCCGAAGCCACTGTTGATTGTTCCCTATCTTATGTACTTCAACAGTATGATTTGAACTTGATGAAACAGTTTGTTCCTTTAACTGAGGAATCCGAGAATCCTGATCATACCATTCCGTTGCTGGTCCAGGTGAACTACTTCAAATGTGGTGGAATTGCGATTGGTGCATGTTCTTCGCATAAGATCGGCGATGCATCTAATTTCTTTTCTTTTATTCGTGAATGGGCAAACTTTTCATTGAGCGATAACCCAGTTTTGGTTCCCGAGTTCAGTATCTCATCTCTATTCCCACGGATAGGTTTCTTGAACTTTAACACCGGAATCAAGATTCCAACGAACGAAAAGCTCGTTAGAAAGAGGTTTGTGTTCAGTGCTTCAAGCATATCATCACTCAAGGCCCAAACATCATCTTCTTCACGTGTTCAAGCTGTCACAGCCCTCACCTGGAAATGTGCTATGAACGCAGTTAAGAAACCTGAGATTACATCATCAATGGCAATGACGCTTGTGAACATGCGAGGACGCCTCAACCCACCATTGCCGGAGACCTCTTTTGGCAACTTTGTTGGGTCGTTTTTGGCCGAGAAAAGCTTTGATGACGGCGGTGAGATTGAATTACGGGGCTTAGCGGGTCAACTGAGACATGGGTTTAAAGAATTCTGTGATGTTTACATGAAACAAGTTCAAGATTCCAAAGATGGGATATTTGCAATCTTGAATTACTCTAAAAAGATTGGGGAAATGTTGGGAAGAGATGGAACTGAAGTGTTTACGTTTAGTAGTTGGTGTGGATTCCCACTGTATGAGATTGATTTTGGG